ATGTACTCTATGCGGGTACAACTCATCATAAAGTGATTTCCTTTAATCTAGTATTGTACTGATAACTGAAAACTTCCATTGACCCATGTCCAAAATCTCAGAGTACACAAGTGCAACCAAACTAGGTCGCATACGTGCTCATGCATGCTCAAGAAACTGCATTCATAAGTCTGAGTAAACCGTGATGTACCTTTAATAACAACTTGACTTCTTTGTTAATTCAGGTCTTTGTATATTACCAGGACCTGGGTTTGTTTCAGTATCATCACTATCAAAATGTAGCCCTGACACCCCTCTATAGTTTCCACTGAGATTGGTAATGGTAGGACCCATTTATCCACAACTGAAACTATATTTAGACCACATTTGTCAATGTGCCTGGCCAAGATTTATCTTCAACTTTGTGACCCGGTATTTCAGTGATGGCTCTTTATAATGGAATGCAGTTTATACAGTTTAAAGATATGAGAGGGTGGGCAAGGGGAGTAGCTGGTACAGTTTTACGAAAAATAAATGGGCTTTTTACAATTTACAAAGAAAAAAAAGACGTTTTTACAGTTTACAGTGATAAAAAATGGAACGTGTAGAGACGCATGAGCATATTACCCTCGTAATGCTCTTCATTCGGCTAGAGGGCCTTTAACGTCTTGACATTCAATTTTGCAGTGAATTGTGTCATCTAGTTGTTTTACAGATTCTAAAATGTAATTTCCCTGGATTATTCTTTACGATTTTTTATTTGGATGTAAATTCTAGCTTGTATGTACCGAGAAACATGACACATTTTTACAGTGTACGAAAAAAATATTTGATTGATTACGTTGTATGTCTAGCCTGTGATTACAGAATTACGGAATTTATTTTTTCAATTTACGTTGTACGAGCCAAAAAATATTGCAATTACGTTGAACGAAAATAACCCTTGCCCCCCCCCTCATATAATATACAACAACATTTCTGACCACTTTTTTTCAGGATTTCAGCGTTATTTTTTCATAAAACCAAACAAAAACCAGACTGTGATCCATTTCTGTCACTGATTCAGATCAAGGTCATGAAGTCACTGAAAACCCTAGCATTACAATATAAGCTAATTATTTATTATGGGCGTGCTCAGTTGTTCTCTCAGTGTTGTTGGGAGAGGTAATTTGGGATGAAAATCATGAAAAAGACCCACTTAGGATTTTCAGGAATAAAAAATTACGTGCATATTCAACAGAGACTTGTTCATCAAAGTTTCATCGATATCTGCTGCAGAATTTCTGAGAAAATGTTAGAGATGTAAAGAAAACGCCTGAAATGGGGACTTATAATCTTAAGATCAGTCAAATTATTGGAATAAAAAAAATTATGATTATTATAATGATATAAATTATTAATGATTTCACACACAACTACTGCTAGGAAGAAAATCCAATATTTTTTGGCAATTAATGACGTAATAAATTCAGCTTTCCAAAACTATTGCTACAAGCTTTATATCAACCCTGAAAAGACCGAGTTTTCCTTCATGTAACATTTACAAAATTACAAAAGGTGACTATCTGGTGAAATTCTAATAATTGATACAAAATAAAAATCATCATGACTGAATCTGTCAAAAATATTCACATTATCGGTAGTTTGAAACGTGCACATCACAGAATTTTTTGTTTTCATTTTAAATGAAACAAACTTAATGACAATTTCGTCATGACTGAATTGAATCAAATGACATGCTGAATAATGTATTAAAGTTTATTTGCAATCAGTCAATGTATGGCCGAGAGATGGCTCTAAAACACCACTGATTGGCCATTTTGCAACAAATAACAAAACTGAATGACATGCATCAGTACCCGCCATGAGTGGATGTGTCCTGATGATGTTTGATTGAAATCGCCACTGGCTTGGCTAAGAAACAGTTCATGACATGTTCAAAATGCCAGTCAGTCAAAGGAAAACCAAATATAAACTTGATGTGCACATGTATGTCATGACTTGTCTTTGTATCAACATTAAACATATACTGGTAATTGGTCCAGGCATGTTTTGAGATAGGATGAATGGCAGACAGATTATCCCACAAATGGACAGAGAATGGAACCCACTCAAATCTATCTTTTTAGTTTGATAACCTTAATGCGCAAGTTTTGCAAACTACCATCTGTTAAGAAGTATTGAATATTTTAAAACATTATATACCGGTACCGGGGGATAGTATCCCATTTCGGAGAAAAGTTGGATGTGAAAAGGAATTAGGCAAAGACAAGTTGACAAAATTCCTATACACATACAAACATCAGGAATGCATGCGTAAATTTAACAGCGTTTATTGCAACAAAAGTTAGTGATGAGCGATTGGCAAGGAAAATTGTTTTTATATTAAGAAATGGTAATTTACCTGAAGTTGTCCATTGGATAGCCAGTAATGCCAATAAATTTGGCTTTACCTGAGTCTTTGACTCTCTGCAAAGCCCACAGCGTGTCATTGAGGATGACATCCAGGTTTGGGGCAAACTCCATATCATGAATCTATAATCAACACGAGAAACTTTGGGTAGCTTATTTGCATATTTAATAATTAATTATTCATGTTCAATTTCAAAAATATGAAGATAAAGCACCAAGTGGCAGATTTAAGGATGTAGTAGTTTAGTTGGCACATGATAATCAAAATTAACTTTTTATTTTTTATAGAATCTTCAGAATAATTTATAGAGAGCATGTTGGTTTCAATTTAGGTATTTATTAGAACAACAAAGAAACGAAACATTTCACATGATTTCCAGGAACGACATTCGATGCTTAATTATAATATTTTATTATACCGGTATATCATTAAAGTGAATGGGAGATATGGTAGACAATAATGATGCAAGAAATGTTAAGATGGCTATCCATTGTGGAGTAGCAAGCCAGAGAAAATTTATAATGACATTCATATGTACCAATACTGTTTTTTCTTGTCATATTGAATAATTAGGCTATTTTTGTTGTAGTAATCAGATGAAAGAATACATGTGTAGCACTACAATACATGTATACATAAATACCTGAATAATGTCCACGTAGTTCAACCCCAATCTCTGTAAACTTTCGTTAACACTACGCATGGTTCTCTCGGCAGTAAAATCGAACATTTCATCAAGCTTGGGTTGGTATCTACCAACTTTTGTGGTAAGATAGTAAGCTTGTCTCGGAATGTCTCTCAGCGCCTGTATCAATGATAGAAGGCAGGACAAAGGTGATGAAGAAAGAATATTATTTACGTATAAGTATACGCTTGTATAGGAAAATCTTAGACAGGGCATTTCCGAGCAGGGGGAGCTGTTACATGACTTCTGGTGACATCATTCCAGTGATGTCATTGCTGCATTGCCTTATGGGATATTTGTGTATGAGTAATGACAGTTTTAGCGGGGACACTCCTATCTAAATCCGCCCCTCATTTATTTAGCCTTAAAGGAAACATCAAGCCAAACAACATAATGACCCCTCTCAAGAAAAAGCTCCACAAATGTAGGAGAATGCAATTTACAGTCTCTAGATATTCAACTTTATATCAGTATTATGTAGTCAGCCATCTTGATTTTAAAGCAAAGGATTATGGGTAAAGTGTGACATCATAGAATCTGTTGTCAGAAATTGAGAAAATGATTTCATCTATAACATGAGAAATACGGATGCGAATTAGTTCAATTAGTTCATTTACCTGACCTAGAATTGTCTCTGCTTTACCATGGCCATACCATGGCGCTACATCTATGATATTAATACCACTTTTAATAGCCTTATATACAACTTGTATGGCTTCATCGTCGTCAGTTTCATGAAATACACTACCTAATGACGAGGCACCTGGCAATCAGATATAAATGAAGGACAGTCGGAGTTAGTTGGAAGGTAAGTTTCACGGATATGTCAGTACTTAGTCATGTGACTTTAATATTTCACTTACCACATTGCAATACAGTCAAGGTTTTGATAGTGTTACTTTATTTTTTTTCATATTTAACAATATTATATATATTATAATTTTTCATTGCAAGTAGAAAATTTGATCTTAAGGTAGCGAGAATAAGCAAACATCCATGAAACGACAGTTGTAGTTATTTGTGTTAGAATTTAAAGCACTAATTTGAGCATCAGCTTTCCAAAATTACCAATTTTTGAAAAATCATGAAAAGAAAGAAAATTTTCCTTTTCACTACCTTAAAAAAAATCCTAAATGCATGAAAATGTTTAAAGACACACAGACAAACCATAGAAGAGTAAACTTTGGTGGTATATTTAGTTTTCGTGGACACCATCTCTGTATCATAATCACTTACCAAAGCCAAGGACTGATACTTGTAGTCCTGTGTTGCCAAGACGATTGTATTTCATTTTCATGACATCGTCTCTGTTGTGAAACCCTTCTACATAGGTGGGAGGAAGTCTAAATATAGAAACAATGCAATCTCAGATAATCAGAATGAACTATGGCAATAATTAAATAATACGGAAATTGAATTCCCATTGAAATAATAATAAATAATAATAATCTCTTTTGAATTTTATGGTATTTGTATTTTTTTGTATTAATGGTCCTTGACATACAAAAACCCTCTAAAGGTTTTTAGTAGTGTAATAAAGTTATTATTATTATTATTATTATTATTATTATATAAAATAAACATTTAATTTAATGAATTAATTAAACTGTTGGGATTTCACGGTCACAGGACTTTTGCGTTCACTTCTCATTTACGCAATTTATAATTATTTTTCAAGAATTTTTCATCGGAATCACAACAGTCCACAAACAAACTAGTATAGACATACAGATGAGTACAATAGATGAATTCTATAGAATTCCTATAGAAAAAGTGACAAGCAAGTGTCTGTTAAATTCTATAGAATTACATAGAATTTCTATACAATTCTATAGAATATTCTATATAAATTCTATTGAATTCAACCCCTTGACAGCAAGAGTATATAAACTACTTCTATGAATAATTAATATTTAGTGACAACTTTTGATATTATGGTGAAAATAAGTATTATTTCATTGGTTTATATGCTTTTCTTATAAGTTTTTTTTTTTCTGGTATTAAACTCCGCAGGATTTTTTCCCCATGATTTTTTTTTTTTTGCCATCGCCTCTTCCCCTTTCATGGTCAACTTCTGAAGGGGCGTCTCTCCAGCAACCAACCCCAAACCCCAAGACTGCTATAGAACAGACTTATTAGCAATGTCTATTGTTGTAAGAGTGAATTGGGGATTACGTAGGTAGGATGCGTGCCACTGCAGATATTGCTGGTAGTTTATTAACACGTTTAAACTCAGAGTATGAGGTTAACATAGAGATTTCTAAACATACACGCATATATCTGCTTTGTGTGTTTTCGAAATGTCATTTTAGTGCCACATAATGAGCAAATTGATAGAGTAGTATTTTTTATTACGTTAATTTTTCCAAAAATTTGTAGAAAATCTTTTATAAAGGTCAAACTGTGTTCCTTTGTGTGGTCAGTTCATAGTATGCATCGAATAGAGACGACCTCTTTTTAATATTCAGTAGGAAGCTGATCTTTTAATGGAGCATACATTTTAATTACTGTAGAATACTTTATTTTCGCTTGGAATTTATTTTTCGCTATTTTCGCTGAAGGGATGATTCCGTGAAAATAAAATCCAGCGAATATACTATATTTCACATTAAACTCATCAAAAATTAGTGAAAATAAATTCCATACAAAACGCCCCAAAAGCCTTTTCAGCGAAAATTAATTCCAGCGAAAATAAAGTATTCCACAGTATCTCTACTCTCGTTATTTGTATAATTCCAAAAACATGTAGAATAAACATAGGTCTGTTGCATTCATGGAGAGCATTTAACCAAGAAAAATAAGAAATGAACTAAGACCCAACACGTTATTTGATGAAATAACAATGGATGACGCGTTATTATTATTATGAAATTCTAACCAAATTCTATCCAAGTTTAGATTAAGTAATCACTCACTAAAATTTTCATTTGACTTTGGTCAGCAACACCATCATAACTCTATTACATAATTGGGTCACAATAATAATGTATAATTATAATACCCGGTAGTTTAATTCATCAAATTATTTTCTCTTAAGGCTTTCTTTTTCCTCTTTTGTAGTTTTTAGTTATTTTTTATTAATGTTTGTATTGATAATTATATTGTATTTTTTTTTTTACAAAGTAATTTTGTAACATTACAATATAAAAATCTAAGGAATTGAGCCGCCATGTACTCAGACTGTCAATCAAGATTTTTAAAAATAACACTCTTTTGAAATATTAAAATGGCTATTACAAACATTCATTATGTTTACGTAAGTTAAGTCTCACTCTGTTGTAGAAATCTACATGGTTAAATACACTGTATCAAGTGTAAACTGTCTTGATTGCAATGCGGATGCTGTTCCTGAAAGAGCTGTATTATAGTCGCGTTAGTTCGATCGTTTGTTTAAATAATGGATTAAATAGTTATTAGCCCCAAAACAAACGGTGGCACGCATCTGATTAAACCAGAAAAAGCCGCGTTGCTAGTCTGTTCTATAGTAGTCTGAGTCCAAAACATAGATCATCATAGCTGTGTATATATTTGTGTGAGTGTATATAATTATGTGGTGGCAGTACCAACAGTGGTATTAAACTAAACACGTTCAGTATTATAGCTACCTACCTGTCACCTGTCATCATAGTAAGCCAACGCAACTCCGCCGATGTCGGGTTGATAGGTTATGGTGCACGAGAGCGAGGTCAAACTATCACCTGATACTTCCTACATCGTTCGATAGGAATTATGATAAGAAGAGTGGTTTGTCAAATTTTGCATAGACAGAATATATCCTTGAAAACTCGTATTTTGTGTCCTCTTCCATCCAGGTAAGAGCCTCAGACGTTCCCTGTTACACTGCTACGTTGTTGATTTCATCACGTGTACGGGTTTACGTGATTTCGATCATGTTTCGATGGACTATAAATTATCAAGTTTGCTAGCCCTGCTTACATGGCTGTTTTAGAGGTAATATTCACACTGGTACTTGATGGTGACAAGATCACACTCCACATTCACTGACCTGTGCATAGGGCTACACGTATATCGCATAACCAGCGTTGTTGAGAGATTATTCGAGTACTGTGGTGTATTAATACCGGGGACGGTCGATTCGTCACAAGTCGATTCTGGTTCCACAAGTTAATTCGTTCTAAAGTCGATTCGTCCCACAAGTCGATTCGTCAGATTTAAGGTTAGCCTATTACTAACTCGCCAAATAAGCACGAACACATCCAAACAACAAACTGTTCACGTGCACGTCATGCACTGGCATGCGTAATTGTTCGTTACGCCATTTTGTTTTTGCCGACGCGTAATACATGTACCACGGTTTCTAGTAACGGAAAGAAAAGATAAACGATGAGACTTGAAACAAAAGAGTTAAATCTGGATTAAAACTTTTCTCCTCCCCTGTTAAAGTTAAAGGTAAATAAAATGTCATATTAAAACAAATCACTCCTACTTTCTCGGATATATTCGAACGTGAAAATAAAATATGAAATTTACAGACAAAGTTATATCCGGATATTCATCACGTAAACAATGCACTATTAATATTATCAACAACTAGTTTTATTCAATACCATGGTTGACAGCCAACACATGAACGTAATCTAACAATTCGGCAAGAGCAGTAAACACACCTTTTACAATAACATGTAAGTAAGAAGTAGCGAATGGTGGAATGCTCAAAAGAAATTGAAATGCAAGTTACATCTGTTGCCTATAATTCATAGCATTCATACAAATACACGCAACGTACAAGATATTAGGTAATAAATACAAATACACCGTACACGCAACGTGAAGTTATTAGTTATTGATAAATACAAATAATGTAATTTTCTAATTTGTATACACTTGTTATCTTTTACTGTTAATCCCCTTTTTATTGTCTTCTAGTTTTAGTGACTTTACTTCTGTACTTTCCAAAATCTGTCTTGTGTTAATAAACAAACTATTGTCTCAAATCAACCTCAAATAATCATTTCATGGATTGCATCGGCATGTGACATCCCATTATCATACTTTCCTAGGTGCGTTTTATGAATAACTTTTCTTGTATTTTTTCAAACTCTATTCAGTGACGATTCATTCCTATTCACATGAGTTCCATTTTTTTTTTTTTTTTTCGATCAGCATTACGATCTTGGAGAGGGGTACATTGTAGTTCTGTGTTTATGTGCAAGACTTTGACATCGACGTGCGGCATATGCTATGTCTTGTCTGTTTACATTGCAGGTGCGACCAACTGTATATCGTTACTGACACGCTTACTCGGGTCATTCATGCACAATTATTTTGGGCATTAAATATACAAAACACAGGAAATCCACACTTGAATTTATTGTTTACACCAATATGACGATTTAAAGATTAAGTATTGTAGGAGAAATGTAACGGGTAAATATTCTTCACACAGAACCATGGCAACTGAAAGTTTACAAGAGTTGGATAAAACACAAGTGGAATTGCTGAAAGAAGAGTGCATATTACTTGATGAAAATGATAAAGTCATTGGATCAGAGTCCAAAAAATATTGTCATTTGATGGAAAATATTAATAAAGGTATTTCAAGCTTATGTTTTCAGTGAAATGTTAATTTATTGCATTTAATAGGAAGCATGTTTTCAAACGAAAATGGCAGACATCTAGGGTACTCTTGCATTATGGAGTTCCATGCCAAGTATCATGCCAAATGTTAAGGTAAGCTTGGGCTTGTTGTGAGCGTATGCATCTTACATTGTCTTTGCATTGTTCCATTCAGATCAACTTTACAGCAATTAAAGTTGCATAAATTCCACAAAATTTTGAACCCCCAAAAAATCATGCATAGAACTCGAGCTCCAGCAAGAAATTGTTATGTCAATCTGGCTGTCGGTTGGATTGTTTTGCACAAGACATAATTTTAGAGCCTGCATTTTTCTATGAAATGTTTCATTGAGGATTATTCTGTAAAGAAATCGCTGAAATTATTTCATCTGTCCATAAACGGGAAGTTGTTGCTACGACGATGGGCTACGGACAAATGACTTCAAAACATTTCATTTATATCGGATGGCGCCCTCTTGTGCCAATCCCTCCCTGGAAAAAGTGTGGCAAAACATTGTTGCTATGATACATCCCATAATACTGTCTGTAATACCGGTACTCACATTTATCACCGTTTTCTTTCTAGGTGTGGCATTGCACCGAGCATTTAGTGTGTTTTTGTTCAATCCTGAAGGACAGTTATTACTCCAGCAAAGATCTGATGTTAAAATTACTTTCCCAGGTACTTACCAATCTTGCATTAATTCATGCATATAAGAATAACATTTTATCGCATATATTACAATGTTTCAGATTTACACCATCATGCTTAATGTATAATAAAACTCCTTAAATTTTTATATTGTAATTGTGGGAAAGTAGGTTCAAGTTCAGGAATGGAAGAATAAACCGCGTATGGACTGCAATAGATGACTTTATTGAAAGAACTGAAGAAGGGACGTTTTGTCTCCTATTTATATACTCAAAGTAAATATTGGCCTTATACATGACTGGTTACAATGAATATGGCCTTATACATGATTGGCGAAAAGATAAACGAGCTGATTGGTTGAAATTAAAACAATCTCATTGGCTGGCTAAATCTCAGTCAGAATCCTAAATTGTTATCAAGCTGAATTCTCCACAGTAATGTTACAAAATTACAAATTTGAGAACCAGTTAAAAAGTAATGCTAAATATATGCATTTGTTCATTGCAATAAAGCAGTCATTGTACACAGTGTGTTTGAAAATAAATGATTAATTTGTTTTACATATGATGTATTTGTAATGAACGTGCCATGTTATAACAACTTTGACAGGTTTTTGGACTAATTCATGCTGTAGTCATCCACTGAGCGTGCCCTCTGAATTGGATGAAACCGATAACATTGGTGTGAAAAGAGCCGCTCAAAGAAAACTTTATCAGGAACTGGGCATTAAGTCTGAACAGGTACGATACCATAGGTGCAACAGCTAAAATACTATAGAATAATTATACAATACTCACCACCTGTTGGCAGTGATTATAATAACTGAATGTACAGGGGGCTGGAATGTTACGTTGATGCCAGGGTTATTTTGTAAAAAATGAAACTGATTACACATTTTTACAGTAAAACATAGTCACACAGATTAGGTGATTTTCCTGTCAACTGCGAGATCTCGCGAATTGCGTGAAAGAAGCACAGCGAACATCTGCCACAAAATTCGAGCGATTTGATTTTGAACTCAAATTTCTTTATTTCGTAGCTTACATCGAAAGACCGATCTTTTACAGGGGAATATTGCGTTTGAATACCCTTACTTCATCAAAATTGACCATCATCAAATGTGTACAGCACATTATTAAGCATGGAAATATCCCTGATATCCTGTTTTTCAGTTTGACTTGACGCATAATGCAGCGAACGAAAAATGATCTATTGACGTGGGATTCGGTAATATCTTGCAAAGTGAAATCTGCAACTAATGTAGGGGGGAAATATTCACACACAAGTACATGATCCAGAGTTTCATGGCAGTCTCGCTAGTAATGAAAGAGGTCAGAAATTTGATAAGGTCTGATTATTCATCAAGCGCTACTCGCAGTCTCGCATACACATAGAATCTACTTCCTATTTAATATGTAAATGTGTTAGTTATTGTTACATTCATACTTGATGAAAAATTTCCTTTCCAGGTTCCATTAGATGAGTTAGATTACCTAACGAGAATTCTGTATAAAGCACCTTCGGATGGAAAATGGGGCGAGCATGAAATTGACTACATTTTATTCATCAAGAAAAAAGTAGACCTCGAACTAAATGCGAATGAAGTACAAGCACATCGCTATATCACGATGCAAGAACTGAAAAATTTTATGTCCGAAGCTGAGAAGAATGGTACCAAGATAACCCCATGGTTTAAAGCAATTGTTGACAACTTTCTTTATAAATGGTGGGAAAACATTGATAATTTACAGCAATTTAGAGATTATAATCATATTCATAGAATGTGATGATGTCATATGCTCCTCACACTGTGCTAATACCCTCCAGATTCAGTTATTCTTAAACGACCATATTTGGTGATCATGAATCCATTGTATTTAGTATGTGTACCATGCATTTTCGTTATTTAAGACCAAAACCCACTTGTTTAATTTAGATCCATACTGCAGAAGTTTCAATCATTTAAAAAAGCTTTTGACAGGCGACTTTGTCGGAAGATGTATACTGACCAGTGATCGGGGGTTCTTTGGTTTGCGTCTTTTGACCTTCTTTGAACAATATTTTCACACATGTGTAATTTATCATAATAATTGTGATTTAAAAAATCACTGCTGTAATATTCTGGACCATGCTGTGATCTAAAACTTGACAAAAACAGTTTGACCTAACTTGATGCGAGTTATTCCCAGCATCCAATCTTTGCTTCGAATCATTACAAATCACACGTGTGCTTTTTTTCAACCAAATCATGATTAGTCAAAAGTCATTGTACGAGTATATAAATTTGCATAGTTCACATATCAAATCATTGCCCATTTGTCAAATTTTACAAAAATGGTTCAATTAAAGTCATTTGTATCTAATATTTATGACTGAATCGGAATAAAGAAGGTCATCAATTTGCATGCATGTAATTAAAGTGAAACATTGTTGAAGAAAGTGACAACCAGGGTACATAAAATAGTTTTCAAGAAAAATCAAGTTTTCCTGGCACAGTTGACAACTACAAAATAAAAATCTTGGTGTTGTGCCATAAGCTTCTATTGTTACCAATCAATTCTACGTACCCTAGATGTAACATCACTACAGAAGCATCAATCCCACTCATCATTTAAGTTAATTGTTCCCTGGAGGCTTATGTGAAGAAATTACAGGTGTGGGCATTTATCACAAAAGGAAAGAGACTTAGTATTTGTTTAAATACTGGTTCTTATAATAGTTTGCACAGGAAACACTCGACTGTGTAACCACGAACACGGGCAGAACATACTGGGGGGAGGGGGGGGTTTGAATGTCAACTAATATTTCACAATTACGAACACAACTTACTGAGCTTTGCAGCGTTCAAATAAAGTGCATTCACAAAATATGGTAGAATTTAACACATAGGAGTGTTGTATGATGAACACCATGTGTAATTGTACACATAATTTAAGACGTATGGAAACAATGCAAGTCTATTGCCAAGTTTGTCAGTTGTGCGTCCCTGTAATTTGTGTCTGATGTACCTTATTACTAACGACTATTTTATTATTATGCAATTTGTCAAGCTCCCCAACATTTTAAAACTGATTCAGCACATAACCCAAACTTTGAAATTTGATTTATCTTTCCACGTTTATTTTGCTACATATTATAGCTGCAGTTCTCAGAGTAGAAACCAAATACATGTAAACCTTGAAGGACAACTTCAGTATGAACTTTTCATGAGTAGAAATACTTGGACGAACCATAACTCTTAATAAATCACACTGCTCAGCAGATAGAGGCAAAATTATTTCTTCCCCTCTAGTGCAGATTTTTATTACGACTTACACCTGACTAAACTCGCACTTCAAGGAGTCTCAATGTCTTGTCAGGCTATACAACACCTGCAACAAGGTAAACAATTATTATTAAATAATATCGATTAATTTTATTACTCAATAAGTTTACAATATACATATATCTTTCTATAACAACATTCTATAGGTATTTTATAAATATCAGCTCCTTGGTTGTTTATGTTGTTTTAAGCATCTCATCGTGCAGAACTTGAAATCCATATACTCAAATGGTACTTTATCAGTTAGACTTTCACCGCACATCCAACAACGCCTGAAATAGACAAATACAATGAAATGTATGACACATGACGTTTAAAATGAGCTTACAAATAATGTAAAAGACATTACGCTTCAACTTTGGTTTGGTTTGATATACCGTATTAGTTCCATTAGTAGCACAAGCAAATAAAGCAACAGAGGTACGTCTTGTTCAAAATGTATTTTTTTTTGCTTTATGCGCGCTTCAATCAGAGATGTGCTTCTGATAGGGCAAATATGGTATTTCAAAAAAATGCACTGGACCACGATTGAAACTTATCAATGTCACAAACAAGCAGATTTTATTGTAAAGATGATAACAGTTTAACAGTGAATTGTGTGAAGAATTCAGTGCATATGAATATGAGTCCATTCTTTCATCACAAAATGATATATGAATCTATTTGTCATGAATGACACTGTTAATACAATATCAGAGCTTGAACTTCGCACCCATTTTGAAACTCATCGTGCATCAAGGCAATTATCTTTGAGGCCTCACTGAGTTAAAGCGCTGCAACATGTGTTACAATTACAATTTCAGAGGTTGAATATTCCCAACCAATCACCAATAAAAAGGACTTTCCTTGGCCATAATTCTGTGTAATACTAGAATATTACAGTATCAATTGAACATTACAATGTATATGACTATTGACAACATACCTACTACCTGTACTCGCTTCTCTTTGGTGTGCCAGTCGGCGTTCAGCTGCAAGTGCTCTCTTCTCTCTATCGCTCAATGATACAAACCATTGGCGTTCCTTTTCCTCCTCTTCTCTCCTTTGTTCCTCAGCTTTCTGTTCCTGTAAAGTTATGGTATAGTATAGACATATTATAACGCCACTGCAGCATCAAATCTTAGACTAGTGCATCAAGAGTGCAGAACATGTGCAACTATATAAATAAAATTTCTCGTTATGTAGTAATTCAAATTCCCAATGAATCAAAAACCAAAACACAAAATAATATATAAATAATACAAGTCATTGAACAATTTTTGAAAGTTCTCATTGTGCTCGTCATATTAAAGTGGAGGGGTTGTCGCGAGTGTGTCCTTGAAACTTGGGTTCCAAGTGGCATATACAACAGATTGTTTATTTGCGTGACAACCCCACCGGTTTAAGACATAGCAAAGAAAAACATAGATCACAAGTGAAAGCATGTCCAAGTTATCACATTTTAAACAAACAAGATGGCCGCCAGTCAGCCATATTTGATCAAATTGAATTGACATGTACATGTATCCATTTATGACAAACTAAATATCAATGAAAATGATACATGGGTGACAGATATATAGTAATATGGCCAAAATTAAAAACAGCCATTATTCGGGCATCTTTGATCTGATGATGAAACAAAGTGACATGTATGATGTATGTGCCAGATACAAATGAAAATGGTATATATGGAAATATAGTACCGTAGTAAGGCAAAAAAAATTTTAAAAACAAGATGGCTGCCAGTCGGCCATTTTGAATCGAATCGCTAAACCCACTGCATGTGCATATGTGCCACATAAAGTACTAGGCACGTACAATGGAATGAATGGAATCGGTCCAAAGGATTCTGAAATATGACTCCGGAGGGACGGACGCACGAACGGAAACCAAATTACAAGTCCCCGTTTTCGGACTTTGTCCGAACGGGAACTAATAAAGGTAAGACAACTTCGATATCCATGCTGTCAATCGAACATATTTCTGAAAAGGTCAGGTTGCATATGTAGAAATGTGCAAGGATATCCCAAAGGCCAAACAAATGCAGTACGTGATCTGTGAAAAATAAGGACACTAGCAAATGCAATCTGATACAAACACCAACCATTTTTCTCATACACTCACTCATCGGCATCAGTATCTCAAGATATGTACATTTGTTTTGCAGCTTTTTAATCACCTCCCAATTCATGTGACTTCAAATGAGATCTTCATCGCATATCACACTAGTTGTAGACCCTTATCTTATCATTCATACAACGTATCATTTCAAATCCTTTGGAATGTACACAAGATGACATTACCTTTAGTTTTTCTCGCTTGGCTTTTTTTCTTTCCTTCCTTTTTTCTGCTAACTTGACAGATTTTTCTTCTTCCATTTCTGAAGTCAACGGAGCAGGAATCTGAAATGTATGGCGATTGTTTAAATGTCTTTTCACTATCCAATCAAAATGCTGATGAAGGTGGTTAAGCAGTTTAGCTGTAAAATTTAATACGGTTCAAGAAACCTTGGAATCACATAAAGACTGAGGAGGCAATCTCACCTGTGCCACTGAATAGTTGTATTTGTTAGGATAATCAGCCATGAACTTCCTGAATTCATTTCTTGTTGCTTTATCGATACATGATGCATAACTGGATCTATTATTTTTGTCTCTATGTTATAAAAGAAACATTAGCGATGAGAAAATTGAAAAAAATATTTATAGTTTTCTTCATTTCCACGTGAAAGTCAGGTCTATGTTTTGAGGGATTTTACAATTCCAGTGAGCCAAATTATTGTCCAAAATGAAGAACTCACTTGCCCAACTCTACTGGAATGCATTGATTTTGAAAAGAAATTGACCAGAAACCTTTTTACACAATTAAATACAAGAATACTTACTTAATTGCTGGGTCAGCTCCTGCTTCCAGTAACAGCCTTATAATTGCTCTCTGTCCAGCTTTTGCCGATATATGCAACAACGTCCTGCCATCATCAGCATATGTATCATTTAATATCTCCAATTTACTCATCACAGATTCTGAGTTCGTAGTTTCATTTGTGCTGGATTTGCCTCCAATTATTTCTGTATCGCTCTGGGAAACATTCTCAACTGTAAATGACGTGTATGAGACGTCATCAATATTTTGAGTAGCTTTGTCAAGTTCTCCAACATGTTTCTCTTGGGACGCTGTCGCAATCGACGACGCATGCATGTTCTCAAGCAATGAGAGCAGCATTGATTCATCTCCTATTTTACATGCTGTATAAAGTTCATTCCTCAGTTCCATTACTTTAGAACCTAGAATAAATATAGAATTATCCATCAAGGAAAATAATAGAAACCGACCTTCGGTAAAACCCAATGCTTCCCTCAGGAAAATATCCAAACATAATTTGCACATTTTTGGGACCATTATTTTGTTACAAGAAAAATAACTAACATATGCTATTATTTTCTGCATCCAACACAGGGTGAAATCAATACCCTACAGCATTCAAAATTTTTCTTTTTGAAAAAATCTACAGATTAATGGTTGCATGCTATAACCTTAGGGTAAAATACACAAAACTTCAATGATGCGTCGGTGAGATTGCGATAGTGATGTTGAGGGGATTACAAGAGCGGCGTCAGGGAGGTTGCGAGAAGGGCGTCAGGGAGGTTGCGAGAATGGCGTCAGGGAGGTTGCAAGAATGGCGTCAGAGATTGCAATAACGGCATCAAGGAGATTGCGAGAATGCAGTCGAGAAATTGCAAGAACAGTGTTGGGGAGATTGCAAGAACGGTGTTGGGGAGATTGCAAGAACGGTGTCGGGGAGATTGTGAGAACGGTGCCAGGGAGATTGTGAGAACGGCGCCAGGGAGATTGCTAGATAGGTGCCAGAGAGATTGCTAGATAGGTGTCAGGGAGATTGCGAGAAGGGCGTATGGGAGATTGTGAGATCGACTGTGGTGTTGCCCACTAAGCAGTAAAAACAAGAGCTCATACTGCCTACTTGCTAGACTCAAGGCATTCAGGGTGTGCAAATATGGCGTCCAATTAATAGGGATGTAAAACTGTTTCTGTTTCAGTGCATGTAATAAATCACAGTATTATAATGAGTTACCGGTACCCCAGAACAATGGACTTTCTCTCAAACAGGGCCCTATGGAAGAGTTTTATTCACACTGAATAGCCTACTCTGTATAAATATAGTCAAGTAAATAAATCAATAGTCAGTGATTTTCATATGAAGACTTAAAGGAGAGAATACATAATAGAAACTGACCTCTCCTTGTTTTTTCTTTATCAGTCTCATCTGGGTCCTGTTGCTGGTTGATTGGCTTTTTCTTTTTCTTCTGTCTTTTCCTTCTAGGGACATCAAACTCTTTCAGATGCAGTGTGCTTTCTACCTGTTGTACAATATCAAGGGCTAGACTTTCTTCCTCGTCAATTAATACATCAGCATCTGCAGAGATATGATCATATGCATATCTAAATTTGTCCAATTAAATTTCATCGAATCAGGAGGCGTGTAAAAGTGTATTGATGAATGTTGAAATTTCATTTTTACAAAAACGTTTTCCAAATATGGGATCACATCTTTGCAGTAAAAACAATGGTGCATTTGGGGATACATGAGAAAATCAATAAAATACCTGAGCTCTTTGCAATTTTTTGACTGTCATCATCAATTTCTTTAGCATCAGTCACATCTTCATCATCTACTTTTTCTTTTCCAGTTTTTTGCACCGGTTCTGAGCTGGATACTTTTGTGTCATCTGTAACATCTGGTGGCATCATTACTTTCTTTTGACTGCTTCCATCTTTCTGCTTGGATAACCTATATGGCTTTACTTTTGGTTTTGGTGACCATGGCAACATATCTGCAACATCCTCCTCTTGACCGTAACATTCAACGACAGACAGCAAAGAATGTACTCGTTTCAATTCAGCAAAAGTCGGACGTCTTGTAGAGAACGGGATGGTAACAATTCGGCAATCTTTCTTGTCAAATGGAGCTTTTTTCCCACCAAAAAATATGCTTTTATTGAAGCTAGGGGCACGGAGGAATATGTGGTCGCACTTTGCAAGATGTTCGCTCCAGCTGTCAAGAAGATCATGAATATCCTGTGATAATGCCGCTTCATTGTATCGACGGAGACTAGCACCAGCTGATCTGAAAAACAACCATGATTGATGAACTTTGTAATAATTTTATAAAAA